TATGCTTCATCTGTGGTGTATGCTATTAATAGTCATAGGCTTCGCTCTGCTTGGGTACCCAAAAGACAGTGGCCTAGAGGACTGACAGCCCCACCCCCCTTCTGCCACCTGTCAAGACCTGTTTTGGGTTCTAGATTCCATTTTCTCAGTTAACACATCTTACCCATCTTGAAAGAGCCAGCCCAGGCATCACTTCCTGACCCCTTTCTAGCCAGGCTTAGCTAATGGCCCCTCCTCTGGCTCTCACAGCACCTTATGCCCACCTCAGCCCCCATGCTCTCAATGAAAGTCACCAGATGGCTCATCTGTCTCCCGTAGCTCCTCCAGGTTGCCCCCAAGCCAAGCCCAGGACAGGCAAATGGCAGGAAATCAGAGTGTTTACCAAACTGAACTGAACTCCTAGTTACCTTTCAGATAAAACACATCCTGAACTTTAATGACCTTTCAAATTCAAAAATTTCTTTTCAAGTGCCCTGGAATGTTCTCTAAGTGCTAAGTCATTGGACTCTATAGCAGCCTCTCCTAAGATCAACAGTCCTAATTTCTGAGAACTGAGACTCTATTTTAGCATGCCACCCAGGACAGGGGACTTGAAATCCTACTTCTTGCTCATTGGTGATTTAGGGTATTAACTCAAACCATATGAAGTTGCCATTTTGTAAGTAAAAAATGGTCAAATATCAGAAATTTCATATGGTTCAACCTACTACTTAATCTTTAAAAAAATACTACATAAATACATAATATTATCCATGCTCTACTACTAAGTTTTTGTTTTTCCAAATAACATCTTAGACAGAGGGAAGCATTCATTTCATTTTGCCGCCGAAGCTCCAGTCTCCTAACCTATGGATCTTGTAGTCTGAGGGCACAAATTTTTTCATGATGCTTAGCAGATCTTCATCAGCTTCTCGGCAGTGAATCACCAAGGGCTTCTTTAGAGACACGGCCAGCTGCAGCTGTCTCTCAAATACCTGGGAGAAAACAAAGTAACAACACCTGCAGGTTAGGGCCACTTCAGAAGTGTGTGCCCCCAAAACAGCCAATACAATGGGCAGCCCCACTGTCTCTCATTCTGTATTTTTAAACTATACTGTATAATGGTACAATAATAGCTAAGGCTTACTACGTCTTACTACAAAGCCAGGTAGTGCTCAAAGCACTTTAGGTGCATTATAACTTGTAATCCTCACAAGTACCTGAGATACCGATCTTAGCTCACTGTGCAGCTGAAGAAACTGAGCCTCCGAGTTAAGTAACTTGCAGCTGGGAAGCTCTAGTGTCATCATTCACATTTGAACCCAGGTAGTCCACATAGCAACCACTACGCTATGCTTGTTTGGGGTTGCAGGAGCGGGGCAGAGCAGCGCTCAGGAACATAAAATACAAGTTAAATGTTCCTCTCCTCATCATCCCCACCTCTACTCCCAAGAGGTAACTACCTTCCACACCTTTTCCTATGCAAAGAGTTGCATACATATGCACAATGCCTGGCTTTCAGAAGGTGCTCAAATATTTGTTGAAAGAACAAATACTAGACATATTTTCTTTACCCAACCAAAATCAGATATTCATCTAGGTGAATACCTAAAGATATGCTACATTTTTTTAACACTAGCCATTTTTAAATATTCATTAGTAAAATACACATATTTCTAATTATTTAAATTAAAAAACAGAATTTATTTTTTCCTCTAACAAGTTCAGGTTTAGAACAAAGAACAAAAACATTAATTCATTATAAACAAGTTACTTCATCTTATACTTAATGTTTCCATGAGTAGTAGTTTCAGTTGTGGAATATAATTCATTTTTTATTTTTACAACATGTAAGATGCTTTTGGTAATTTGAGTCAGGTGATATTCACCTGAGAAAGACATTTTCAAGTCTAACACTTGTGCTACCTCTTCTCAAAACAGTAGCACTGAGCCAGTACCAATTCTGATATAACTTATTTAACCTGGGTTTTCAACTAAGGAAAATTACCTTAAGAACGAAAATCATAGAATGCATGGCAGGGGCTTTAAAGACAGGCTAATTCCAATATCCACAGCTGGCTGGATACCCTTCCCAACACACCTGCCCTCCTTGGACCCCTACAGAGGTAGGAAGTTGCAAGAGATTCTAATTCCGTTTAAGTCCTGCTTCCAAAAAATTATTCCTTAGGATAGTTAAACTACTACAGCCTTAGGGTGGAATATTACACAGCTGTTAAAAAACGTATTTTTTTCAAAATACATTTAATTGAAACAGGAACATTTCCACAAGTGGAAAAATCATTCAAAATTATTTTATTTCCTAATTTCTTTTTTAAAAAGCATGTAGATATAAAACACATTTCCTTGATTCTCTGACAGGTGCTTGCGAGACTTGCCACCAATTGTCTCTTGCAATTCTCCAAGGGGACAATAACATCAAAAACATGTCTTGTAAAACACATCTGGATCTCAAAAATATCAGGATGTTAGAACTGTTAGCAGACAGAAACTTGTGGCTGGATTGGACTATCTAGAGCATTTGTCCTCACCAGGAAAAAGAACAGGAGTGAATGAAGTGCAGATAAATTATTTACCCAGCATAATTGCTCTCTTCTGCCAGCATAAGCTCGAGTTCCCCACTGATCCATTATTTTCAGGGATGCCAGAGTTAATCAGTCTCCTGAGTATGGCCCCAGGCAACTCTTGCATACTCATTACTTCAATAATTAATTCCAGTGAAATACAAATAGACAGAAGCAGCCTCGTTCAGCCAGCCCAGGTGGGGAAGGATAGTCTGTCTATTCACCCTGGCTTTGGAACTCCAGAAACCAAGTGATTCTCATAATCATACCGGAAGTGTGAAACTCACAAACAGTCCCTCTTAGGAATTAAATAGGAAGGTAAACAGTTAAATTTAAGAACACATAGATAAGGAAAAGTTAACAGTGGTGTGCTCTGAGTAGCGGGATAACTACTGATTCCTCCCCCCACCCATTTCTTTTGCTTTTCTCTATTTTTCAATCCTTCCAGAAAATATTAGGTAACAAAGACCAAGCTCCCTCTTATAACAAGCTAGGGCTGACACCTTCTCACTTGGCCAGATACGGTCCTTCCATATGCTTTTCTTCTTCCCTTCGGATAAACTATTCAG